AAGTAAGGCCATCGTCGAGCCATACATGTTCAATTGCAACTGTGTAAATATTGTATGAGTAAGATGGATGTTGTTGTACGTACATTGTGTACGTGTGTGTGTGTGCGTGACACATACGTATGCTTTGAGTTTGATAATGTAATATGAGATAGTTTGTGGGTAGGTTGCCCTACCCTAACCCATGTCGACCAGTCGTGCGCTCTGTCTCATGTTCTACCCAACATTCATCCCCTTTTAGATGGGGACATCGTTAGTATTGACCCAAACAGAGGGACAAGCTTTGGATGCATGAACTCATGAGCAATACAACTTGTTTGTTTGTTTTCAGCGCATGATTGCATGTTGGATTAAGTCCATTATTCAACTTTGAATTTAACTGCAGCCTGTCATAGATATTCATATTGCCTCCTCTTACCGTGCCTTTTATTTTGTAGTGGTTATTGACTCGTCTTTACTTAATGTTTTACTACTACTTAACTGTTTTCTTTTGTTATTAGAAAGAATTGTTCCCGTTGGTTTAAAATTAGAAACTAGCTAGGTATCATCCTTCTTACTTTGAATATAAATTTTAAGTTTGGGTTTCTTTAAGTCCGTACTTTTTCCCGATCAAATATTTGATACACATATAAAAATTGAGTCAAAAACACTTGGACATATATACAAAGAGCAGATGCGCACATAAAAGGGTGGTGCAAGTGACGCCACCTCTTATATGTGAATCTGACTTAATTACGTAGGTTAATTCATAGCTTAATTACATAGGTTAACTCATGCATGACTTAATTACAAAAGTAACACCGTTTAACTCAATGAGTGACCCATTAATCCTTGATAGCCCAAGCCTATATAAATGGATTAGGATCATCTCCACTATCAAAAAAGTAACGAAAGGACCATTAGTTATCTAGCTAGTAGATGGTTATAATTTTTTTCTTGAATACAAATTATGACTAAATGCATTACACGGGGTACGTGGGATGTTAAATTTAGAGTGTTCTTAATTTCTTAGCTCCGCCCTACCATATATATATATATACCCTATTATTTAATAAATTTGCAAATGACAAGTGTGATAAACATTGAGCATGACAAGTGTGGTATACATTGTACATTAATAAAAGGGATAACTCATTAGCCTCAACGACACCAATGTTTCCAGAAGTATCATAACTGACTCTCAGGGGTAACAAGCTGTGCTACCATTTGACAACGTGTGAACTTTAGAGAGAAGGGGATAATGATGAGAAAACAACAACATCAATAGAAAATAGAGATGAAATTTATTTTATTTTATTTTTCATGTTTAATAATGGACTTTCGGTTCTAGCCCGTCTCACTCGACCAA